AAAAAGCAGCGCCCCAGCCCTCCCTGAGCCGAGCTGGATGTGCCTGGCAGCAGCGTCTGTCTGTCTGTCTGTGTGGGGTGTGTGTCTGTCCGTGGGCCTGCAGCTGCTCGGGGCTCAGGGGGGGCAGGAGGCCGTCCTGCCCCCCAGCTCTGCAGGGATGTGTGCCCCCCATGCCCACCCCCCTGCCCTGGGGGGGTCCCTGGGGACAGGGGACAGGGGGGGGCTGGAGCTGGCACAGCTCAAGCCAGGATGGCAGCACCGACCCCTCCCTGGCCGGGGCTGGGGGTGCTGCTGCTCCCCCCAGGGTGGCTCCTGCGGCTGCTCTGAAGTCTTTAGTCCATGAATTATTATTATTATTATTATTTGTCACGATGTTTCACTTCGTTAAATGTGTTTGAATGGGGAAAAACAATTTTTTAAGGCGATGTTTAGTTTTTAGGTGATCTTTTAGACACTGTATGGAATTTTAATTTGTTTTTGAAAACTGGTTTTTATCCCTTTTTTTTTGTTTGTTTTTAATTTTTTTTTTAATTATTTTTGTCTGTTGGCTTATACTAATCTTCCTGGTCTGCTCTTCAGTCCTTTGGATTAAAGACACTTAAAAAGTCACCCAGTCTCCCCTGTTGCTTGTGTGGCTGTGAAGAACCCCCCCAGTGCTCCAGCTGCTCTCCCTGTGTCCTAAAACTGCTCTTTTTTCCACCAGAAAGGCTGAGCTCCCCACGATGTTCTCTGGGGACAAAACATCCCCTTGCATGGGGACAGCTGCTCGAGCTCTGGGGGCTCCTGCACGGAGACTCCCCAGCACCTGTCACCCCTGGGCTGGGGCTGTGGGATGCTGTGGGGTGCTGTGGGTGGTGTGGGGTGGTGTGGGATGCTGTGGGATGCTGTGGGATGCTGTGGGGTGCTGTGGGATGCTGTGGGATGCTGTGGGATGCTGTGGGATGCTGTGGGATGCTGTGGGGTGGTGTGGGATGCTGTGGGATGCTGTGGGATGCTGTGGGATGCTGTGGGATGGTGTGGGGTGCTGTGGGG